CAAACTCGCCTGAGGGTCACTCTCCCCATCAAGGGCACGGTTCCTCCCTTGCTGCCCTCCTGAGGGTTCTGGTTAAAATGCCATTGGGTGGGGGTCTGCCGCTGGGTACTCTGGGGCTTCTGCCAGCATCCCTAGCCTCTACCCAACTGGCTGCTGGCAGCAACCACCAGTAGGACACGAAAACTGTGTCCCGATCCTGTCCAAGCGACTCTGGGGTCACAATCACCCCCAGCTGAGGGCCCTGGTCCTTGTGTTGCTGCCGCCGCCGTCATTGTCACCGGGGTTGTTTGCAGCCTTTGAGTTGACTCCAAGTGGCAGCAATCCTGTGCCCGGCAAAACCAGACCCGCCGGTCCCACACCAGCCCCCCATCAGCCGGGGAGGGCACTCACATCATCTGGTGTCAACTTGCGAAGGGGTGGAGCCTAGCCTGTCCATCAGGTCGCAGCTTGATGACCTCACTTGGAGGCGCCCTGGAGATAAAGAGCTCCCTGGAGGCCAAATACACTCATTCCCTGGGAGACCTTCCTGCTGACAAGCCACATGGAGCCAGGCTGATGGCAGCCAGAGCCCTGGAGCTGGAGGAGCCACGTGGAGAACCACGCCAGCGCTGAGATGCTTCCACAAGATCTTCCCGCATTCGGCGTCATTGCATGTGCTACGTAAGTCTGAAGAGGAATTTACGGACTGGTATGGGGGGAGGGGGGGGTGCGTATAGGCTATTATCGGACGTATGGACTTGACCTGGACTGGGCTCTGGGCTGGGATGGTTCCTTGATGTACAATTCCTCTTTAAGCAAAGCTCTTTCTTATCCACCTCTGAGTGTCTATGAATTTGTCTCTCTAGTCCACCCGGACGAACACGTGTGGGGTTTTCACTGGCTGATTTCTGGAACTGGGCCCCCAGCGTGTGGTCCTGCTTTGTCTCGGTGAGCAGGCTCTGGTGAAGCCTGCTCAGCTTCACCTGAGGTGGCGATACGTGGGGGCGTTGGCCCCGGAGTCCACCCCAGTCTCTTCCCTGGAAGGTAAGGAGTCTACCACGGACCCCGGAGGAGACGGGACTCAACCAAGCCCTCCAAGAAGCGGAAGAAAGATGAGGCTCTCTACTCTTGGAAACCCACCTGGCTGCTTCTACCGTGTCCTACGCAGTTGCTCCGGGTCCAAGTGGGTCTGAGAAGCGGAAACCCACAAGGCAGCCCACCCCCCACCCCCCAGTCCTGCAGGGTTGCCATGAGTGGGAACTGACGAACTGACTCGCTGGCAGAGTCTGAGTCTGTGAAGCCCTGGAGGAAAGGCGAGCAGAGGGCAAGGCAGCACCCAGTCAAATGTCCGACCTCAAACAAGGGCAGTGGGTGGCCGGGCCCCCAGAGGGTCGCGACACACACACTCTCCCCTCACCCTCCCGGGAAAGGCTGGCATCCAAAAGACCACATAGAATCCCTCTGGCCCCAAGGGCCTGCTTCTGGGTCATCCTGGCCATTCAATGGCCCTGCAAACCCCAGGAGGTGTCTGTCGCCCCTGACTGTCCACTCAGGGCTGCTGGCAGGCCCTGCCTAGTCTCCCCTCCCCTCAGTGGCGTCTCCGGCCTCCTCAGGCCGACCTTGCCCTCCTCCAGCTTTGCTGGGGAGTACAAACGGGCAATGGACTCTGCTGACCAGAGGCTGGAGGTTTTCATCCACTCAGAGGCACCTTGGAAGAGAGGCCTGGCGACCGACTTGCCCAATACCAGCCATTAAAATCCCCAAGGAGCAGCTAATGTGTTGAGTGATTCCGCTACACTGCCTCGCGGGTTGCCTAGGGGTCTTCAGAGCTTGACAGTGTCCGTCCAAGACACCCCAGCTGGTCTCTGTTCCTAGGGCAACGGAGGAAGGAGGAGAATTAGGAACAAGAGGAAGCTACCGAGCAGGTGGCCGAGGGCTCCCATGACCACGGGCCCCTTTGCCAGGAGACTGGATGGTGCCCAGCTGCCCGGCTGAACATTTCAAACAAAGATCCTACAGAAAAATCTCCTGCAAAGGGGGTGGGGGTGGGCGTGGGACACAAAACAGAATTTCAAATTCTCACAGCCTCCAGGCTTCCTGGAGCCATGGAGGGTGGGTGAACCTGGGAGACAATCGTGCTGAGTTCATCTTTAACCTTAAACCAAACATGTCCCCGAAAGCCTTCTTTAAGCCAAATAATAGTTCAGCCTAACATGTGGGGTGAAGGTGGGCGGTCTTGAGCATTACGGTCTTTGAGAATTATCTACTATAGAAAGGTCATTGTCTTCGAGTTGATGCTGATTCAGAGCAACCTTGCAGGGACAGGGTAAAGCAGCCCTTGAGGCTCCCCGAGATGGCCACTCGTTATGGGCACAGAAAGCCCTGTCTTCCTCCCCAGGAGCGACTAAAGGTTTCAAACGGCTGAGCTTGCAGTTAGCAGCCTGGATGTGTAAACAGTCCTCCAGGGGGCTCCTATCATCTACGACAGACGGGATCAAATTAATACCGGACACTAGAAAGGTTAGATAAGCATCTGGCAGGGAGAGAGCATGTATGTTGGGTTGGGGACTGGGGGGTAGAACAGTGCAGCCAAGGAGGGTGGAAATGGTCGCACAACCCACGGACTACTCGCGCCGTCACGGAGCTGTCTGTCCACAGAGGAACTGCTGCACCGTCGCAAGAGCAAGAACAAAATTAGCAAAAGCTGGCCAACAAAATCGCAAGCCCCGCCCACGGAGCGTGGTTCCACCTGACACACACACACGAGGTCACCCTGCGTCAGGTTGACTCCAGGGCACCCTGTGGCTACCCCGTCGCCCTTGGATGGCTTTGCCCTGTCTACTCTGACCGGGGCCTCTGTCTTCTCCTGAAGCCTCAGTGCAGGGAGACCAGGGACTGCGTCATCAAGCTCCCCAGGGTGCCCAGCACTGGACGCGCACAACACGTGAGCTGGCCAAACAAAGCCAGGTCAGGGACCCTGGAAGGACCAGGCGACAAGGTTGTTCCTGGGGAGGGGACAAGGGCAGGCTGCACCAAAGTGACAGTCTCCCCACCGAATGGAAGTCCCATGCGGAGGATGCGCCCCAGTCTGCTCTAAGCATCATGATACAACGTGGCCCGACGAGGAGGGGCTGCCTTGGGTAGGAGTGCCCCCACGCCCACACCCCTACCCCAGCATCTCCCTGCTGCGACCTCAAGGAGCCGTGGGCCAGGGAGGGGCAGCAGCTGTGTCTCTGCCCACAGGTGTGGGGACAGGATCACCATGAGATCCCCGCTCCATAGCGGGTATAAGAAGAAGACATGTGGAGGGGGGGGGGTCACCAGAGTCCCCCGCAAGACTGGCCCCGCATAACCAGGGCCAGGAAGCTCGGCAGAAGATGAGAGAGGCTGCTTCTCAGACAGCAGCAATAGAGCCTGCAAAGCCCAGGCTGGCCAGTGTCCCTGGGCCAGGCAGAAGTCAGCCAGAGCTGGAACTGTAGTCCTGGCCCTGCCCCAGCTCCTAGACCGTGCCCCCTAGAGAGAAGGGTCAGCCGTGCCGGGTGCACCGGAGAGGAACAGGTCCAGGAGCAGAGGGCAAGACGGTGGTGGAGGCAGGAGGTGCCACCGGACACAGCTGTCTGCCCGGCTCGGAAAGAAGGTGCAGGCTTGGACCTTGCTTGGGACAGGAAGTTCACGGGGCTGGGAACAAGTTTCTGTGAAGAGGTGGCCCTGCCACAGTGGCCATTCTGGGCCTGGGGAACAGGGGAGGGGTCTCCCCGAGCAGACGAGGCAAAGCCCACAGCAGCTACATCTGGGGGAGCAGGGGGGTGGGGGAGAGGTCTGAGCCAAGGGCACCCAGACAGAAGCCCTGTGAGCACCTGAGTAGGCAGGCCCAGAAGCCAGGGGGCTCACCATGGTGCTGGGGGGGTGGGGTGGAGGGGGCACTGGGCTCCTGGCAATGCGAAGGGGAGTCCTGCCAGAGGACGCAAGACCTTCATCCTCTCCAATCCTGCTTCCCCACCTGGCCTGCTCTTCCTCCATCAGACCCTGACCCATCTGCCTCCCCCCAGCCCACCCCCCATGCCCTCCTCCATCAGACCCTGATCCAACTGACCCACTCACCTCCACGCCCCCATGCCCTTCTCCTCCATCAGACCCTGACCATCCCTGCCTCTCCCCTGCCACACCCTGCTCCTCCTCCATCAGATCCTGACCCACCTGATCCCCCTACCTCTCCCTCTAGAGCAGCCAGGACGGAGGGAGGCGCACCTTGCCCGCCCCCCCAACGCCTCTGGCTCTCACCAATGCCTTCCTGCCCCACCAGGCCACAGTCCACATCAGCCCTCACCACAGCCCCCCAGGGCCACCCCTCAGGCGCTCTCCCTCTTTCCCACCTCCAGAAGCCACCTTCCCTTCTGCCCCTCCCCGTCCCCAGCGTGCCCAGACCACCCCCTCGCCCTGGGCTCCTGCAGCTGGACCTGTCTACAGGCACCTGCTGAGTGAGAGGCCACGGCCCCACTGCGGGTGGGCGCCCCCCAGCCCAAAGCCAGGGCCCGCCCACTACCCT